GAGGGGAGCCCGAGCGCACCCGCCGGGCTTCAGCAGCCCGCGCCTCGGTGCCCAGCTGCCCTGTTTGTGCGTGTCGGGAATTCTGCGGGAAAAAAGCCTCGCGCCTTGCCTGGGGCGCTGCGGTTCTTCGGGTGCAGTCGGGACCGGCCCGGAGGGCACCGGTGGCCGCGTCGCTCGCGGGGGTTCTGCCCTTCACCAACACCTCAGCGGGTCCCTGGGAGGCAGCTTGTGCCTCCTTGTGCAGCCCGGGAGCGTCCGGAGGCGCCTTTGCCCAGCCGAAAGGGTAGAAAGTAACTTAGAATTTTCTCCGTCTCTCCGGTTCCTTTAGTAGCTTCTGAAACCGGCAGCGCTGCCTTGCCAGCGTGGAGCGAAGTGACCTGTGCTGGTACTTTGCTTCACTTGCCCCTTTCTCGGTTGTCGACTGTGCACCCGCCTTGTAGAGGAAAAGAAACCAAAACCAAAACAAACCAGCAAAAAACCTAGGATACTGGTTTCTGAAAGACATCCCTGAACTGGGGTTCTCTGTCTGATGGATTATTGTTGGTACTTCTGCTTTTGGCATTTTTTACTTTTGCTTTTGGTATTTTTTGTCTTTTTTTTTTTTTTTTTTTTTTGCGTTACGGTTCTGTTCCTTTTAAGTTGAGATCCAAACGAGATGTGGGGATGAAGCTTGGAGAAACGAGAGGTCCCTATCACTGGTGCAAAGTCCCTGTCGTGTGAGTTCTAAGGGTGAAACGAAAAATGCAACTCTTGTGACCAAGAGTGAGGTTGGAAGAGCCGTCTTAAAAAGGAAGTGAAGAAAAAAAAGGCATTTGTTTCTTTTTTTTTTTTCTTTTTAAGCATCGAAGTAACAGTCGTATTTAAGCAGGGATCTGGACAGTGCAATTTTTTCTTGCACACACACAGTGTTTTAAGGAGCCGTCTTAACCCTGGTATGATCTGTACTTGCAAGACTTTCTGATACTGTTTTCAGAAAGGAAGAAAACTTTCATTTTTCTATTAGAGCTGAAGCTCTGGTAGTGTGTAATTCACCTTTATGTGGTTGGGCTTTGAGAGCACAGAGAATTGCCAGTGATTTAAGCTCTGAATTTCACTGAGCTCTGATAAACTTATGGTGCAGTGAAACAAGAAACAGCATCCCCTCGGAGAGTGGTGATCATTTTCGCTGGAGGTGCAGCCGAGCCTTCCCCAGCGCTCTGTCACGGCCACCTAGGAGCTGTATGGGTGTTCCTGAGCTGAATGCAGCTTGGGAGTCTGGTTCCTGGACAGAGAAATAGGCCTCAGCCAAGTCAGCCTGACTTCAGCTGTAGAGTAGAAAAGCATTTTATTTTGTTTTCTGGTGTGTGGTGAAGAGAGCTGCCTGCTAGCAGGAAAAGGGAGACCAGGGCTGTGGCACCGGTTTCCTTTTGTGTGGCTGCGGGGTGATTTTACCCCCATTACCCAGCTTGGGCTGGCTGGAGTGAACAGCCCCGTGGAGGCAGGGTGTGGTGAGTGATCTCCTGGACATGCTCAGCTGACTGCATTTATTTTGGACTGGACAGGGCATGGGTTTGGACAGTGTGCTGTAAGGAGCAGTGTTGCTGGGAACAGTGAAGCCTAGCTGGATCCTTGCCTTCATTTTCTGGTCCCCTTGCCACGGAATTTTTGCTGGTGATTTTGACAGGAATGGGCCAGTTCTCCACATGCTTCTGTGGGCCTTAGCTATTAGAAAAACATGACAATTGTGCTGTCTGGCTAATGGCTTTGACTGCCCTTTCTTATCACGCTGGGCGTTCTGTTGCTCTGCTTTGTGTATGCTCCGTCCTGGAGGAAGAGTATGGTACTAATACCAGGCCGTAGCAAGCAGCCTGGCTGAGAGGTGGGCTTGGTTCTGCTTTGCCCTTTGAAACCTCGTGACTGGAGCTCTGTTACATGCGGCCAAGTCCTGTCCTTATCAGCAGCTCGCTGCTGTTGTGTGATAGTGGTGGCTTCTAGGGAAAAAGAATGGAGCCTGTTTGTTCTTTTTATAAGGAAGATATTTTTTCCCGTGTAATTCTCTCACAGCTTTATACTTGAGCTCTTTTTAGTGTGACAGGCGGATTGAGTTCTTTGACCCAGAAGAGATATTAGGAGGTTGTGACGGTTTGCAGCTGATTATGTTATTCTGCTCATGCTCTGTGAGGTTTTTCTCTACCCTTTCCCAGCTTTTTTAAAAATTAGGTAGATTTTTTTCTGTGTTGGCAAATGTGAACAAACTTGTCCTTGCTGCTACTGAGGTGCAGAGGTGTTTCAGAGGAAGAGGGTGGAGCGCAATTATTAACAGAAAATAATTGTCAATGGTGTCAATTCAGAGAAGTGAGAATCTGGTGGGAAGAGAGAGGACACTTCTAGAGATAAGTCTGGAATGTGAAGGTTGTTTGCTGGAACCTCTACTAGAACTAGGATTTTTTGGCTCAGATTTTGCCATCTCAGCACAAAGTTGATCTTTCCAGGTCTGCATGTGTTTATTTAATGTGATGTCTCTTGTGCAACATGGCATACGGTAGTCACAAAAGGAAAATCCTCACTCAGCAAGTATCTGTCAACGTGGATGAATCAAAGAGAGAGTTTGTTAGCTGGGGGTGGGATGATCCCCTTACCCTTCAGAAGACCTGGGAAGAGTCTCAGCCTCTGAAGAAAAAGAAGAGTCGGTGGCTGACAGTCTCGAGCAGTTTGTGGGGAAGGTGCTGCTGAACTCTAAAAGCTCAACAGATGACACAGGGCTGTGCTGATTCTTTCCAACTTGAGTCACCCAGAATCAAGCAGGGAAAATATCTTCTGAGTCTGTCATGAGGACCGTCAGTTTTTGCCATGCCAGGCAGAGCTAAAGTCAAACGGGGAGAATTTTTTTTGAGATAAATTCTGGATTAACTCTAGCACACAGACTGCTAGAGTGCTGTCTCTAGCAATACACGTCTTTAAGATGCCAGCTGATAAAGATTTTTTTTTTGAATCTGGGACCATTTCTTTGGGGAGTGCCAGGAGACATGATACTGTGTTTGTATTGAGCTGGTAGCTAGTCCAGTGCCTTAAGGGTGAGGATGGCTGTTTTAGCATGGGAAGAGGAGAGGATTTGTACAAGGTGATACATAGAATCAGGAGCAGGCTTCGTAAGGTAAATCAGGTCAAAACTCTAGTGTATACTAAATCTTGATCTACAGTGCTGTGTGCCATAGTCCACTTAAGCTTTCAAAGTGATCGTAGAAGCAAGGGAGGGATAAACAGTTGCTGGTGTGGTTTCTGCCAAAGCCACTGGCACGGGTGTGAAGTTCGTGGAGTTTTATGGATGGCAGAGCAGGGTTTCCCTTTAACTTCTGGAGGGACAGTTAATATCACAGCAGTGTAGGGCCTAGGGCATGGAGAGATGGCAGAAAAGATGTGACCGTTCTCTCAGGGAAGGCAGTACAGAAAAGTTTCATCAGGGAATGGGAAGCTCTGTCCTGTCGTCTTTGAGAGGCAAGAGAGGTGTAAGGTAGGGCAGGCAAAAGAACTGAGCGCCATGACTGCTCTGATTCTGACCATAGCACTCTGCTGCCTGAGAGTTTGAGCTTAGGAAACCCATCACATAGGACTGCATCTGGTTCTGGGTTTCTAAACTACCAGTGATGATGCTGGTCTGTGTCTGAGAAGGGTGATGCAGTTGAGACTGGCAGATGTGAAGAAGCCAGAGAACATTATGCTAACGGGGTTCTAGGTGCTGTCTTTTCACAGCCTTGCTGTTGTGCTTAAAATCAGAATAGTTCTGGTGTCTTGCAGAAGGTTGGAAGAAAAATGCTAAATCTTGACTTTTGCCAGTGTTGGTTTTGGAAGATGAAGAGTCTGTACAGTCTCTTTAGGTAAAAGTATGTGAGGGTCTCCCTGCTCTCAGGCTGCAGGGTTGGTAACAGCAACAGGTTTTAGGTGGGGGCCTTCAGTTTTTCCTTTGCAAGAGTTGAAATCAAATAATTGACTCTAACTTCTTGATCTTGGGAGCTAGAATGATAATTAATGTTCTGGTACAGCAGGGTTTCTGTGTCCATCTGATGATGCCATGTATTGCTGCTGAGTCTTGATTTCTTCTATGAATTTGCCAAATCTTAAAAAAATGACAAAAATTGAATCCAGCATAGTATTACACTATTTTGAAGGTGCTTGTTGCTCTGATATGAGATAGTGTTGTTATACTGTCCACCCTAATGGCTGTGTCCAGAGTAAGGGCAGGTGGCATTTCATTATGTAATCCAGTCTTTCAGATGATGATAATCATCTCCTAGCAGGAAGCAGTTGTGCAGGGTCCTAATGGCAGGGATGTGTTTTTTAGCTCTGACTCATAACTGATTTAATATTGCTTTTTGTCTCTTCTGTGGTTGTCTTGCACTATGTTTGGCCTGGACCAGAAGGAAGGCAGGATATTCCAGTCCATGATGTCTGTGATGAGATTCCTCGTGTCTGACAACATCACACATTCGACTGCCCTGGTGACAGCACTGGATAATGTCACAACCTGGACCCCGACAACAGCGCAGGCAATAAATGACACCAACATCACTGTGCCGCACAAGTGCCTGTTGTTGCTCTATGAGGACATTGGGAAGTCCAGGTGAGATGGAGGAAACGGGACCACAGTCTGACCGTGCGCCAGGGGAAAG